ATATATCTACATGGTATTAAGAGGCCCTTCAATACTAACCTGAATTCGCACTAACTTCCAAGTTGGAGAATAGAGCTAGGAATATAGCAAGGTATGAAATCTGGACAGTATTTCTTCCAATATTAGATGTGTTTAATAATGGAATAATAGTTAGAAAAAATAACTTACAGTTTTTTCAATTGAATTAAGAGCGTCTGTTTTATAAAAGAGCGAATGGAAAGAAGGCTTATTTATAACTTAAAATAACCAATGCAAAGTGAAACGAATGGAGAAGTGGGAGTGTATTTGGCTGACAAAATTTACTAGAATTCCACCCAAAGAGAAAAACAAATCCTGACATTTCAATATTTGCAATCCTTAATAATTTGACTAAAGTAAATTGTGTAAACTGTAGTGTCAATAAATTTTTTATAACCTTCATTTTGATCTTTTTGAAATTAAAGTTATTTAAAACATAATGATGTCCATCATATCTGTTCAAATAATATCCAAGTCATTAAAATGTGTCCTAAGTGAAATTTTCGAAAAGATAGGAAATTCGTAATGACGATTTCAAGCACTTTCTAAAGTTTGACATTTTGTCCTCACGCTATTATCAAACACCTAGAATGGTGCAAAATTGTACGTAAATCTTCCAGTTTCTCAACATCTAGAGATTAATTACTGAAGAGGGTCACTTTCTAATTGAATATTACGTGACGAAGAAGCACGTTTTCCTGCTTAGCGTTAATCTCCCTATCTATCTAAAGAATTTTTTTACTTTTCATTTTACATCCAAAACCCACTCCGTAGTTAGGTAGCAAAAGTCACAATAAATGCCACAGTTTGAGAAGCACAACATTTTGATTTTTATATGAATTAAGGCTAATAATAAATTAAACTCAATGATTTCTTACTTGGGTTGATATGGTACATTTGTAAACTACAAAGATGTATTTGACAGCTAGAAGAATGATTGTAAATATAATCAACAAAATTCAAAAGAGGCAACCACTTTGAAATATGAACACAAATCTCCTTGATATCATTAATATTGACCGAATGCTAGACCATTTTTCCTTTTGTTCAAATTTTAATTTTACGCAATGTTTTACAATTAATTGCACTCTCCACATTGTATTAATTTTCAATTTACTAGAGTTACAGAGTTTTAATTTTATGGCAATTGCGATTACCGTCATTACCCAACTTTCTTATTTAGATTCATAAAATTTACCAATCAATCCACTTTCTGGCTTCTGTTTTATGTCTATACAGTTTTAATTTTGCAATATCTTTAATTGCATAGAGCTACGCGACGTCATTGTAAAACTAAATGGAACTGTTTATTTGAGATGGAGGTTAAAGTTTTGTTTCAGATAGTGTTGGAACCTTACGAAGTTACTTGAAAGTTTTCACGTTTTTTGTGAATGAGAACCGAGTTAGCAATTTTGACTATTTGTACATTTACTGGTGGTATGAAAAATATACGTTGGGGTAAATCCATTAAACTTTCATTTCTAATCGAATAGGACGGCAACAAAAGAATACAACGAAAATAATTAATGTAATGTTCATGTATTTAGTCATGCATCTCTATGTTTGGAAGAATACATAATTCAATTTCTGCTTCCTATATTATGAATTCTTTATGACAATGGTAAATCAAACGCTCTGTTTCCTCTATATATATATATATATATATATATATATTAAAAGCAGTAGGCTCAACTGATTATGTCCATATAAATTGACGTCCACTTCCACAATGTTTTGAGATGAATAGCACAAATGCCATCAGATGGTGACGAGATTGTGACAGAGAACACAAAATTTTTAAAAACCAGTAAAACATGCACTCAAAATAGAAACCGATTTTGGGAAGTCGGCAACAATTAGACTTGATGAAATTTATGCAACAGTAAAGATAATGTTGGTGAAATGATTTCAATGGTCCCTGTGACTAATATAACGGTGGACAGATCATCGGATTCAGTATCATCACCGCATAACATGTGAATCTCAACTCCGCCTTAAAGATTATTAAATTACACGCTGATCTGAAACTGAAACCGTTTACAGCTTGTAAATTTAAAATGGATAGGCATATTCCTTGGCGTGTAGACAGATTAAGAGATAATTGCTTAAAGGCGACTTTCTTCTGGTTGTTCTCAAAATCATACACACATGTGATGCACCCTGGGCAACGTATATTCATACGGCAAAAATGTTTATCGACTGGCAGTTGACTTCTCACTCCCAACTACCATCACCTCACTTTATGCCATATTCGACTATTTCACAGTACTCACCTCACCTTTGTTCTACCTTTGTGTTTGTCTCTTACATCTTTGAAACACTCTTCTGTTCACACCCCCCCCTCTCGACTTTTTTCAATTTGATGTTCCTTCCCCTCTGTGAAGCCTGGAGTCAACTAAAGGGCTAACGATAACCATCAAGACGCCTGTCATTTGATATAAATAAATAAATTAATACTTTTAGGCTCTAGCAAAAACTTTGCAAACACTATTGCTCTTCATGACTAATTAAAAAGTAAATAGAAGTAACCATCGGTCTATGAATATAATAACTAACAATAAGTTAAAAAAGTGTTTGTTGAAATGGATGTAATTAATTTTTACTCAAAGGAAACAGGAAAGTTATTTTGGTAACTGCCTTATCGTTCATGAACATATTTGGTCCTTCTGACAGAAAACGTTATGCAAGTGCCCTTTGCAAATGCTGCAGCCGTGAAAAGTCTTTTCAAACTTTGCAATTGATGTTCTTCGATTTACATATAACTTTAATGGATTGGAGAATTATAGCTTACGCTTAAAATTTAGCTTCCAAAGTATATTAACAGTACTGTCAATCAAATTTTAAATATCAGTCTATCATCTGCATATTAACTTTTCACAATGAAAGTGAATTTATTAATGTTACCTCAAATCATAATTCTTTGTGCGTCGATTAATTTAAAACCAACTAAGGATTCGAGAGTTTCATATTTAATATTTGTTTATCTGCGTATATAATGAACTTGCGCTGTGGTTAGATCAGCAAGTGTTCGTGAGAATCCACTTTATTTTACCTAAAACTTCCTTGTATGGTCAATGAATGCCTTTCTTAGTTCACAAAGTTATTATTGACAAGGTCCAAGTTTTGCCATTTGAACTTGAAGTTATTTTTTTATTTTTTACCAAAATTAGTTGAATAAGTATGTGCCACGCCCAACATGGTGTAAATATTAGGCGTTGTTTGGTAGAAAGGCGTTAAAACTCTTTCAACCAATTTGCTACTATTTCAAACAGTAGCACGGTCGCACTTTCTAGATTGCACAAGTAAACATGAGATTGCCTGGAATGGCCAGGATAACATTTAAACCTCCACAAACTCCAATGATAAATGTGAATTTAAAAAATTATCGATTTATATATACTGAATACAATAACTTAATTTAAGCTTTATTTTTCTAGTATAATAGGTAGTGTCTTTTGGTTTTAATCGAAGTTCGCAATAATTTTAAAAAAATTAGAATATTTCAAGATTAAGTCGAAATATATGCAAATTTACGCGAGCTTAATCAGTCGCGTCAACAGCTTCACAACATTAAATATACGACTTACTCAGAAGAAACTTCGACTTGCCTTCAAATTTTTCAAAGTAATAAATTCCAAACATTCCTCTTCCAACCCAAATAGTTGAAAATTCATAATTCGGCATTTAAATATCCATCTTAGAAACGAAAACAAATTCGTTTGAATAAATTAGAATCATAAAAATGATCTTCAGCGGAAGGTAGTAATGGTCATTTAGTAGAATTTTGCCTTGGGATACAGTAATGGTTATATCAGTTACTATTAGCAACAATTGGGCTAACTTCAACAGTTTCTTCTTCATCTTCGTTCTCTTCTTCTTCTTCATCCTTCATTGCATTGGGATTCAGAGACAAAGCACGATTAAGCTCATTGAGAAGTTCTTTTGAAAATTGATCGAGAGTGCCCTTATAAAGTGGCATCTCTAGGACAAATACTCTATCAACGACCTTATGAACAGCTACTTTGACCTCGTCTTCTTTACTCTGTGGGCCTTCAAATAAGTACAACATGACACTTCACAACAATAAAATTCATCTTTTAATTATTAAAATGGCTCTTTAAGATATTACAGCTCAAATTAAGAATTGATTAAGAGTACTTATCAATTTGTGACATATTGACATCAAAGCAAATACATGAAATGCATAGCCTTTTCAAACTCACACACTTTGACACAAGCTTTCACTGTTGAGACCAGAACAACAAGAAGTGCCCACCACGGAATCTGCGCAACAAATAAATCGATATTGATTTTTTTAATGTAATAATACTTTTCAAACGTGTTGAATTACAAGATTTGCCATGGTGTTATTAGCGTTGAGGATGGAGTTCGTAGATTTCTCTCAGTGTTTTTCACCTACAGGATGAAATTTCAAATGCTTAATTTATTACCAAAGTTAGCCAATGAAATCTAAAGCACGTTGAGTTATTTAATGTTTATTAGTTGGCTGGGAATCCTGGATTTGATTATGTTATTAATGGCATGAAACTCGCTTGTATATTATCCAAAACCTAACTGGATACGTTTTAATTCAACTTGATTTAAAGCTGGATTGAATAAATTGTTTACTATTTCTCTCATTATTCGATTTTTTAAGTTACTAATGGCTTATAAACTATTTTTGTTCAAATCTTTATTTAAATATTGTTTCATTTCCCTTATCAAATGTTTGATAAACGCTTGCTATCAATTCTGAATTTGATCTTAATTTTAACCCATTTAAGGTTTATAATGACGGTCTTAATAAGTTTAATCATTTACATTAATATAAAATAAATAATATGGATTTTCATGATATTCGGGCGCATGCCTAATCCCTCTGTGAATGTCATGTTTAAGGTCATATTATTAAACGTTTCTACAATTGAAAAATTGCAAATATATTGCCAAATATGGCAAAATCTTAAGAATTACTGAAATCTTAGCCGTTCGGTTGCATTAGCTTCTACAAGTGTAACGCGCCATTTGAAATTTGCATCGTTGTAATGAAGTAATTTTACGATTCACATATCATTGAAATTTGACGTAAAAGTGTCTGATAGGTGTCATCTGTGGGTGAATAAATATTGCTTTCGGCGAATATGCTTCGTTATCACTTTACTGAAATGTGTACAAAATCATTCGATTACTATCTAACGCTAAATATTAATTGAAAAACTCATTATTGTTCCTAATCATATCATTGATAGGTAGCATTTGTAGCACCTTGGATGATAATTTGAACAAATAGCGCTAGAAAGGGTCAATACCCAGATCAACGAAGCTTTGAAAATCACATTCAATGATCAGTTTCTTTCATTGTAGTGAGGGATGACATAATTTTATAAATCCACCATTATAAATCCATTACATAACTGAAATAATATTCACAGTATCAAACCCTTTGACTTGTGTCGATACTTTGTGAATTAAATCGAAAACTGCTTTAAATGGTCAAGTTATGGTTGGCAAATTGTATCACTCATTAGCATCAGCTTAAATTTTGCTAAATATTTCAATAATAGCGTTTTGACAGAAAGCTTAAATGTTTGAGTTCTATGCTGATAATTTAGTGAAAAGTTTTATAAACGAGAATTTAAAAATGCAAACAATTAATTTTATTAAATCAAACAAACAATTGTAAATGGTATTTTTATTTAGACAGATGTTAAACGTTTCCTTTATTATTAGATGATTCATGATCAAGTTTAAGCCATCATTTTTTAAAGAAAATTTACTCCTTATTAAGACGAATATGTTATTATCCACCGGACCAACAACTTATTTGATCTAATTAAATTTATATTATTGTTTATAAAGCAAACAGTGTCTTAACAATGGCAATGATATTTCAATTTTCAGCAGATTGTAAACATAATTGTACAAATTTAAATATTTTTGCCATTTTTGAGCTATCGAACTCAGTTCTAGTTTTGAAAATTGATTCATGGGCATTATGAATTTCATTACTCTCTGTCTAATTTTATTAAAATATTCTTTTTCACGAAATAGAATACGTCATCATTCTTCGGATAAACAGCCTCTTTGGCAACATCTTTGGTTCTGTAGATTTCTTTAAAAAAAAGGGTAAATGTTATAGTTTAATTATTAAGAGACACTTTAAACAATAAAATATTAAGATATCAAGTAAAAATGAAATTAACATTATTGCCAACAACAATTTTGCTCTAGTAAAATATATATCATCATGAAATTTAGAGACGGATGAATACTAACCCGATTTTGCACAATTGTCCGCATTAGACCTCAAAACAAGGATTATTGTAAGGTGAGCAACCTGAGTAACATTTTTTTCCCAGTATTTGATTTATTCAATAAAAAAAATAATAAGTAGAACGAGCAGCTTACAGTTTTCAGCATTATATCAAAAGCACCTGTTCTACCAATGAGGGAATGAAATGAAGCCATATTTGCAGCTTTAATTAACCAATACGAAGTCGCTTTGTGAAATTCATTAGATCAAAGCCAAAACAAAATCTGAAATTTCAATATTTATAATCTTTAATAATTCAATAAAGGTTAACTGAGTGAAGGGTATTGCCAATTAACGTTTGCATTGGTTGCGTCTTTGCCCAATTGAATCTCTAACATTATTTAAATCGTATTAATATCCAACAATCAGTCAATTAACGGTTTCTTTAGTCCCGTATGCTATACTCTGTAGGTAGATCAAATTTATATGACTTTTAGCAAAATTTAAGTGATACTTTGGAATAAACAAATAGTGATGGTTAAGAGGGGATTATCGAATTTTCTCCTGTTTCTGAAATTACTGATAATCTTTAAGCTGTTTTAAAGACAATTTAAAACTCAATTTACTGTCCCAATTTGGCATGAATTGTCAAAAAGTTTATGGCATTTTCCAACAATTAGATGGCGTTATAATTCTGCCAACGTTATTTGAATCCCAAGTTTCCTGACCCAATTACAGCATCAAAATGTGAGTTTTAATATCAAATCAAATTATTTCAATGATTTAAGAAGGAGGACATTAGTATATGTTTTGCTCCACAACAGTTAAAATAACACAGTTTATTACATATTGCTCAAGATTAAAATGGGTGTTTTAAAGTCCTCCTAGTCAAATTTACCATTTGGTCTGAGACGTATTTAGTTGTATTCCAACGAAGTGGCATATTTTGGATGAAATTAACTCAACTACTTAACTCCGTTGAGTATTTTTATCCTGAAAAACGGATACAGCTTTATCGTGAAGCTAAGAATAGAAATTACTCCAATTCTGGACATGAAATGCTATGGCTGCTACGTCATTAAGATTTTGTAGGCGGTTCAAATACAATTAATATTTATTATTTCCTAAAGAGGTACCTAACGTGTACGTTTTCTGAGGCAGAAGTCTCCTCTTGTGCTAAGGCGACTGCTACGAAATGTGTAATTCCATAATGATGTACGATATATTTGCAGTCATTTATAAACCTTAAATAATTCTCTTAGGTTTCCAAATGGCACGAATAGGCACGACGCAATTACTGTCATGTGTCTTCTTGTGCGAATATTGATAAACTTGAATGTAAATTTCAACTGGGTCAATGTGGTTACTTAAGGAGAAGTATGCCAAGTAATCCATTGAACGATTTATTTATATCAAATTTCAGACGTTTTGATAGTTTCTATTAGCCCTTTAGTTGGAACATCAAAGTGGAAAAGTCGAGAAGAGGGAAGAGGGCAGAAGAGTGTTTCAAATATGTAAAAGAGACAGACACAAAGGTAGAGAACGGGGTAAGATGAGTTCTTTTTAAGTGGTGTGATATGATTTAGAGTGGGATCATGGCAGTTTGAAGTCGAAAGTCAACTGCCAGGTTTATAGGCCTTTTGCTACATGAGTATACGTTGCCTAGGGTACACCAAGTGGAAGTAAGCCTATCGCACATCTCTCCTTTGGAAAGATAATTTTAGACAGAAGTGGCAACCCCCCCCCCCTCCCCATAAGTACGAATAAATGCTACTGTTTTTTTTGTGAGTAGAAGAGCTAAAAGTAGGTAAATTCAAAATGTTGTAAAAGAGCAAGTAATCTATTTGCATGTGCAAGTTCAATTTCTGATAAATTATATGCTGTTCCTTTCTACTGATCTGTAGTTAAACACCTGATCGGTCAAAAATAATTAGCTCGATTTGCCTTGGATATTCAAGTACGTTATGCAATTTAAAACTAACAGAGACGATTATATTAATTAGGTATAACTTAATTTCGCAAAAGCTTAGATTCCAAGTTTCTGGGACATTCTCTTCATACGACTTGCGCACTTGTCCACTTTACCAATGAGGTTTGGCTCACAGTGGTGTGAGGAAGTACCTTCCTTTAGAGAGACAAAGTGTTGGAAAAGGAAAGGAGATTACATGAAAATAATCATTTTTTCCTCTACTTTTCTTTCAGAGGCAGGCATTGTTAACTCAATACATTGGAATGACATCACTTTTGAATACTGGCACTTCATTGAAATTCATAAGCAGAGTGTATTTTCTAAAGGACAGATCTGTTTGCTAATCTGGGACATTTTTTCACTAATTTATTAATAAAAATAAGCTCCAAAAAAATATTTATAATTTGCATCTTATCTATATTTATCAATCGTTTATCCCTTTTTAATGTTATGCCAATTATTGTATTAATAACTTGTCGTTGTGGCACGTGCATTCAACTTTACCATGTGCTGAATGATTTAACAATAACCACAGTATTCAGGAATTTCGCGTTTGTACATAATGAACTTAAACAGTGGTTAAGCCACCAATCAACTGAGTGAATCCACCCCCACACCTATAGAATTCCCTTCTTAATCACAATTACTATTATTAGCATACACTAGGATTTACGGGTATTTTCTTCTGATGAACACAATTAGAAATATTGTGACATTTGTAATTAAATGCTAAGTGTTGGTAGGTAGAAAACTGCTTTTACTCTCTTTCCTTATTAGTCATCACGCCAATTAATAATACGGTCGCACTTTCCAGACTCCCTGAAGAGAAAATGAGATTGCCTGGTAT